GACGCACCGGAGGAGTTCCGGCCGGAGAGGTTCTTGGGGAAGGATAAGGGCATTGACGTGAAAGGGCATTGTTTTGAGTGTTGGTGCCATTCGGGTCGGGTCGGAGGAGATGTGCCGCGTACAGTTTGGCAATGAAGTTGATAAGTTCTAGTTTGGCCAACTTGTTGCATGGATTTAGTTGGAAGGTGGGTGGGAATCATGAGAAAGCTAAGGATTTGGGCATGGAGGAGCTTTATGGGCTTACGACCGTCCGAAAGTTCCCGCTTGTTGCGGTTATGGAGCCCCGACTTCCTGACCATCTTTATGTTCAGTTATAAATTTGATATGAATAGGACGTTGCTGCTCTGATCCCTTGTTTTGGTCTGGTTTGTTCTTGTGATCTTTTCTACATATGCAATGTTGTGATCATATATATAATATATATATATACATAACGTGTCGGTACTAATGACACTAGCTACCGTTACCTATTTGTGTGTATTATTACTATTATGATGGGTATGGTTGGTAGTGATTTTTGGAGTTCAAAATCAATTCTCTAGTCATCTATAGTTGAAATTTGTGTTTGGTAAAAATTATAAGAAGTGATTCTTAAAGAATTTTTGAAGAATTTACAGTTTAAATCAAAAGCAGCCCGAAGGCAACTTTGACTTTTAGATTGTGCAGCAATCACCTTTAAGTATAATTAATGAAATTTTCATAATATCCATAATACCCTTGGAATCAATACTTGTATAATTACAGTTTATCAAATACTCAGCTATTTTTTGTAACAACTGTTTTGTTTTTCAACACAGTTAACATCAATTTTTCTAAAATTTATAGTACTACCAAACTGGCCCGATGTGTGTGTGTTTCAGTAAAGATGGCCACAGACCAAAATTTGCTCGTGATTAGGTCTAATGATACAAATAATCATAAACTGATGGAAACTAATATCTTATATATGGACTAGTCCTCCACTAATTTGTAAATGATTGGGCTTGTTTTCCATGTGCCATTATAATCGACGGAAGAATTAGTGTAATTATCTTGTATTGAGTTGTAACAATTATTATTTTGAGAACTAAAAATCAGTTTTAAGCATATGACAATAAACAACTCTCATACAATCTGTCATGAATAATTATGTAATTAATATTGAAAGACAGATCAATAAATGACTATCATTTTTAATATGAATAATAATGAAGATGTTCATGCATGACTGACAGTCAGTTACGATGAAATGACTCATATTAATAGAAAAACGACAGATGCGCATATTATTATTCATATTAAAAAGATAGTCGTTTATTAACATGTCTTTTAAGATTGTTCATATAATCATTCTTGACATATAAGCATGATAGTTGTTGAGGTAAGATTTCGTACCTCATCTCTCACCGTACACATGGCAACTCGGGCTCCGGAAGGTCACTAAACGAGTCACCGCAACTCCCCGAGCAGGCAGAATTGATTGGTCAACTGATCAACTCCACCGGTCCATCCCATGAGTAGATGAACAACCTTGGTCATCAAGTTACGAGAGAATATCCTCAAGACATTTCTTATATGAGATTTGGCAACAGAATCAGCAAGAAAATGAAAGAAATCAACTGCTCCAGCCAGAAGAATTAATGAAAAAAAGGTCAATGGTCAATTTATGCCGTAAACAACTCTCTCACTTGACGGAATTGATTGTCTTCCACATAAGGAAACTATGGGCGCGTTTGAAACTCGTTCCAAAATGATTTTATTTTTTGTATGAAAATGAAAATGAAAACGTTTTCAATCTCAGAAAAAAATCATTTTTAAAAATGTGTTTAGTAATTTTATCAAGAGATTGTTTTTAGTGTAAAAAAACCCATTAATGTCTCTCTTTCTCTCTCTCTGCTCGAGATAGGAGAAAACAAAAACAAAAAATTAAAAACGATTAAAAGTCATTTTTCATTTCTCTTTCATTTTACACTAAACTAAAAAATCGTTTTCATTTTCATTTTTTTTGTCTTTATTGCGCCAAACGCCGTTTTAGAAACGTTTTCATTTATTCTTTCTCAAAAACGTGAAAAATAAAAACGGAATCAATTCTAAACAGGACCTATATCTTCAGCAATCAGGGTACAAAGAGGCCGGATCAACTCAAAATAGACAAGAAACCATGATTGACTGATCAACTATGGACACAACCAGTTAATGAAAGTCATGCAGCGCCCAAAAAGGAAGGGAATATCACAAATTGAAGGCCATATTATGCAGAGAATCAGGAAAAAACTAGCGGAGCCTCATCAAATATAAATACAAGCATTTGGACACAGTTCGGCATGCTTCTATAGCACACAAAAGCCCCCACGCTCACTTACAACATTTTTTCTCTATTATATAATGTATTTTCTAACATACATTTCTCTCTCTTATCCCGTTCTCATCAGAATGATTCTTTGTAACGCTCTTCAACAGTCATAGTGAAACCACCGGAGCCCTACAGTGGACGTACTCTGCATTATCAGGGGAACCACTATAATTCCTTGTGTTTTTTTATTGTTTTCATTTACTTTCACGTTTACTAACGCCTTCGTTCTCATAGCAGATTATTTTCACCAATCGATGACTCCTAACTCATGTCATTGGCCAATGATTTCTCTAATTGTAGATTTTACCTTCTACATAGTCGTTATTGCCATAAGCTTAAAAAATAACTTTTAGTTTCTAACATAGATTCAATATAAGAGAATTACGCTAGTGATTCAGTTAATTATGAAAGAAAAATCACCCCACAAAAGTGTTGATGGTAAAAAAAAAAGGCCCCTACATGTACATATTATATATTTGGAATTGATAAAATGGAAAAAGACAGAAAACTGTTTAAAAAAAGTTATAAACTTGACACGCAAATAATTTCTTGAAGGTGTGTTATTTTTGCCTCCACTAAATCGAAAATTGGCTTCCAAGTATTCCCGCTAAATGCCCTCCAAGATACCAAAAAAAAAAAAAACCAGAAATCTTCTGAATAATAAAAAATATATAAATTTGATACGCCAATCTTCTGAATATCAAAAATTGATGATTATTCCAAATATAATGTGCCTTCTTCATAGTTAAATTCGTATCTGTTGATCAACAGACGCATTCATTTTGTGTGTTTCAACAATCCTGTATCAATAGAATAAGCATCCTAAAAGCACAATTATTTCCCAATGCTCGTTATATTGAAATTGTACACTTAATGCGTACATTTAATACACGCAAAAATTTTGTTGTTGCACTTATTTTCCTTTAAAATTTCCCATGTGAAACTATTGGTTTTCAACCACCCAAAATATTGCAATCTCCCGGCACATCTTTCCTATTCAATATGAGTCTAGCGAAAATATTCCTACGTACTTATGATCAAGAGATGTATATAACTTAGAAAAGTACAGGTCACAATGACTCTTAACATTAAAACTTTCAATTATTATATCATTGCTTTCGTCTTTACTCAAAGCAGGTGAAAAAACAGAATCAATATAATACCACATTCTCTGTGCGGTGCTATACAATGACGGATCCAGAATTTTAATTTTAGTGGGGCACAAATAAAGATGAAATCTATATAAGATAAGGACTAAAGGTTTGTTTTTTAAGGGTTTCTTTTAAGTATTTTTTTAAACTTAAAACGAAGGGGTTAGAATTGTGAAATGAAATAAATAAGACACATGAATTTTTAGTTTTCTTTTTTAACGTAATATGTGTGTGTATATATATATATATATTCTTTTTTTTATCAGCATAACTTAACTGTTAAAGGAAACAAAAGAAAATAAGAAGAGAGAGAATACATAATGAGCAAACGAAAAAAAACAAACTGTAATAAGCGATAACAAGAAAATGTGACATCATGATTTTATTTTTGAAATGACAAAAAAGCCTTCAAATAGCATTAAACGTAAGGGTGCTCATGGTCTGGTTCGGTCCCAAACTGTTAGGTTTTGGAACTGGACCATTAATAACGATTTTCAAAAATCTAAATTAAATCAAACCATTAATAAACTAAGACCGGACCGGACCGTTCTGAAGTAAACCATTAACAAACGGTCCGGTCTCGTTAAATCTTGGTTTGGACCGTTATTGCGTATGTGTATTTTTTTTTTAATAAGTAAAATCATATATTTAACAATACATATCATTTTTTAAAATTAACATCCTAAAAATTACGAATAAAAATAATATGTAGTCCTCAACAGCAGTCCATAACTATTAAACAACAATATGCAATCCAAAATAAAAGTCCACAATTAATAATAATACAATCATCAAAAGTCTAAATCTACAATTAATAATAATACAATCATCCAAAATCTAAACGTAAATAACAAGGTTGCCCAAACTCTTAAAGGTATGTGCAAATAAGTGAAGTTAAAACTACGAGTTTTGACTTAATTTTATCTAAATGTTTAGATAAAATTTTAAATTGGACCGGACCGTTAAAAAAGTGATTAGGTCTAATTTTAAACCATTTCTTAACGGTTGTATGTGGAACCAGACCGGCGGTCTGGTTTGAACTGGCCATTTGATCCAAACCGTCGACAGCCTTAATTAAACCTGAGCATATAAAGCGAAAGAAGAGTTCTTCAAAAAAAAAAATAATAATAAAAAGAATAGCCAATTGAAGAGTGACACCTGTTGAAAAGTAACAAAAATTTGGAAGTAAATTTTTTCCCACTGGACCTTAATTGGATCCGTGACTGGTACTATATATTTTCCTCTGATCAACTTGCAATCTTTATCACTACATAATTGCTCTTCCTTAATGCGACGAGACTCATGCCTCTTGCTAATTAACGAAAACATTATAAACTACTTAAACGTGGTGAAAACATCAATAAAGTAGAAAATATTGTACTACTAGATAGTGGGATTGCTTTTCGGTACCTCAATAATTCAAAACTTTCACGTGCATGCAACGCTGATGAATTATATATAAATCACTAATCTTTTGCATTCCAGTACTATAAATAACAAGAAGCCCGCCCCAAACTTTGGCACACCATAGCAAAATAAAATGGAATTAGCTCCTTTATGGGATATTTTTTGCTTATTGTTATCCCTAGCTTTATTGATCACTTTTGTCCCAAAAGTCCTCTTTTCAAAAACCCATTTCCAAAAACTTATTCCGGGTCCCAAACCATGGCCTATCATTGGAAACCTAAACCTCATTGGTGCCCTCCCTCACCAATCCCTTCACAAACTGTCGCAAAAATATGGCCCCCTTATGCAACTCAAGTTTGGCTCTTTTCCTGTTGTGGTTGCTTCTTCTGCAGATATGGCGAAACTGTTTCTCAAAACATATGACCATATCTTCGCCTCTAGACCGCAACTCGCGGCCGGGAAGTACACCACTTATAACTATTCCAACATCACTTGGGCTCCTTATGGACCCTATTGGCGCCAAGGGCGTAAGATTTACCTCGCCGAGCTTTTCAGCTCGAAAAGACTCGAGTCCTACGAGTACATTCGTGTCGAAGAAATGCGAGCTTTTATGTCGAGGCTCTTTTCTTTGTCAGGGAAGCCTGTCGTGCTAAAAGAGCATCTTTCTCGTGTCACTCTAAGTGTTATAAGTAGAATAGTGTTGGGAAAGAAGTACTTTAGCGAGTCGAAAAGCGAGAGGTCGATAGTGACACTAGAAGAGTTTCAAGAGATGTTGGACGAGCTGTTCTTGCTTAATGGGGTGTTCAATATAGGGGACTGGATTCCGTGGCTCAGATTCTTGGACTTGCAGGGTTATGAGAGAAGAATGAAGGCTTTGAAGAAGAGATTTGATCGGTTTCATGATCATGTGCTTGACGAGCACAAGGCTAAGAGGAAGGCAGTGAAGGATTTTGTGGCGAAAGACATGGTGGATTTGCTCTTAGAGTTGGGTGATAATCCAGACCTTGAAGTTAAACTTACTTGTGACAGTGTCAAGGGGTTCCTTCAGGTATATACGATTGACTGTTTTTTCGTAATTTTTAGTTCTTTAAAAGAAGACATCTCGTTTGGGAATATTTTTAAAAGGAAATTTTCGAAATTGGTATTGAAACAGTTTCTAAATTTGATTTTTTTTTTCAGAAGAGATTGATTTACGCATGAAAGAGGTGAATATACGTTTAGTTATATTTTATAATAAAAATTTAAAAGACTTAATATTGTAACGTTAATTTTCGAATGTGAAAAAGCGAAATTATGAGATTAAGACTTCTTGTTGTTGTAATATTGCAACGTTGATCGCTCCTTAAAAACAAAAACAGAAAAAAGAAAACGATTCTATAGCGTTTTCTTCTATTAATTATCTTATTAATTTTTTTGCCAACCTTAATCTAGGACTTAATAGCCGGAGGAACGGACACATCTGCAACGACGGTTGAATGGGCGATGTCGGAGCTCCTAAAACAACCAAAGCTAATCGACAAGGCCACCGAAGAGCTCGACAGAGTGATCGGAAAAAACCGATGGGTTTCAGAGAAAGACATCCCACAACTTCCTTACATAAACGCCATCATGAAAGAGACGATGAGAAAACACCCAGTCGCAGTGTTACTCGCGCCCCACCTGGCTCTCGAGGACTGCCAAGTCAGCGGATACGACATCCGCAAAGGGACACTTGTCTTCATAAACACGTGGAGCATCGGAAGCGACCAGTCGGTGTGGGACGCACCGAAGGAGTTCCGACCGGAGAGGTTCTTGGGGAAAGCGGGCAAGGACATCGATGTCAAAGGACAATGTTTTAAGTTGTTGCCATTCGGGTCGGGTCGGAGGATGTGCCCGGGTTATAGTCTTGGACTGAAGATGATAAGCGCAAGCTTGGCCAACTTGTTGCATGGATTCAACTGGAAGTTAGGTGGGACTAATCAGACACCTGAGGATTTGGACATGGAGGAGCTCTACGGGTTGGCGACGATTCGAAAGTTCCCGCTTGTTGCGGTAATGGAGCCCCGACTTCCGGTCCATCTTTATCATCAGTTCTAAGTTTTGCTCACTTTGAATGATCTGTTTTTATTTTATTATATATGATCTTTAATTTCCATGTAGTATTGTGATCATGATTAATGTGCCGCTAGTCACGCTACTGTACTACCTATTTCTCGATACCATGATAAAAGAAAATACTAATGTCTTTGTAAATTAGATGGGGGTTATTCCCCATAAATATTATTTAGCATTTTAGCTTATTCAAATCAAAGTTTGTGTTTGATTGTGCATATTTGAATTATGATTTGAGATAAGAATCTTTTTTTAAGTTTGTGTTTGAGTGAGTCAAACTTAAATTTGTATTTAGATAGTATTTTAATAAAAACTCAATGGTGATGAAAAATTTTAATAGGGTATATGGGTGGGATTTTATTCGTCTTTTCGTTGTCAAAGCATAGAAAAAAAATCATCTCAATCAGGATTAAAACGAAAAAGTTATAGCATTTTTAAGAATAGAAAAAATACTGTTAATTAATTTGAGTTCGAGTTTCTAAACTCGAGTTGAAGGGGACACTTGAACTTGAGTTTTAGTCCCAAACTCGAGTTCAAACTTAGAAGAACATAAACTTGGATAAAGTTGAAATTCGAGTTGCATTTTTTTGAGTTTTTTAGGCAGCCGAACACACCCCTAATGTTTAGAGGATAAATTTCCAGTTATTGGATTATGTTTGAGCATTTTTGTTTAGGAAGAATTCTTGTGAGAAAAGAATGATAAACCCTAGAGTTATGTTGTTTATGATGATAAAAAGAGATGAGAAAGATTGTGATTTGTGTTTGAAGGTTGAAACAACGGATAAAATAAATTATGGTTAGCTCGAGAAATACGGAAAATTAGGCAGAATTCTGATGAAATTTAGTTTGAGAATTTGAACTAAACCTGATTGCAATGAAGAATAGGATATGTGTAAAGGAAGTTGATTCAGTGATTAGAAATGCATAGAAACCTAAAATGATGAAAATTCACAGTTTTGGACCAAACCCGAAAACTAGATTATTGACCCGGAAATTGGAATCCTGTGTTGTTTTGGGCTAGAAAACTAAGATAAAAGCTTAGTTTCAAAAAGTGTCCAACACTAAGTTGAAGGAAATTTCGTTCTGAACAACTTTTGTGAATAAAGTTTTTCTCAAAAATGAATTTAGACGCTAGTTTTGGGCTAATTTTCAAACAGGTCCATGATGGTGATTATTGGTCAAATATGCAGTGGTTTGGAGCATGATGTTGAGATAGGAGATATTTCGGTCCAGATACCGAACATAAGAATTGTAGACCTTTTTGAGTTAAATTCTATTGCAATTATTGGTCTTAGATTGTAAATCTAACGATTAGAAATTTATATAATAGGATCGGTAGACGATCGAAGTCAGAAAGCTTCAGGTGACTCGAAGGTCGCAATATTAGCGGGACTTCTGTAAGTATCAGTAATTTTTCTTGTCTCTGACATGAATGAACTTATTCCTCCACGTTGCACAAAAATGTGCATATTGTGAGATCTGTGTATGTTAGAATGTGAATTATGCTTTTGAATATTTTGTGACGTGATGAATGTTCATATGGACTCATAGTAGACATAGAATTTTGATCTGTGACAAAGTCAAAGTCTAAGTGTAAGTCAACAAAAAAGTCAAACTTTTACGCAAAGTCAATTTCATAAGAAATTAATAGAAATGCGTAAAAAAGTAAAACAATATTAAAATTACTATCATAATAAGAAAAGATGACAGTAAGATGATGTACACAGAAAAAATGATAAAAGAAAGGAAGAAACAAAAACTGTTTGTACCGGCCTCCGCTAGAAAGGTTATTATAAAACCATGAGTGAGTTGATTATTTTGAGCTCATCATTGGGAATGTGTGCAACAGTATGAAGTAAAAGCTATGAAAATAAACAATGCAAGAACGAAAGATGTAAATGTTACGAAAGTCGTTCGGAATGTTAGAAAATAATACGAACAACATAAGAATGAAAATTGAATGAAGTATGAAATGAAAGAAGAAAAAAACATAAAACGATAAATGTTTTAGATGTATAGAGTACATTAGAATGTATGAAGTGGATGCATATATGGGTGTGCATTATTGGTTGCATTTATTATGACCTACTGTTACTTGCTGAGCGAAAGCTCATTAAGTTTGTTCGTATTGTAGGAAGCTCAGGTGAGACACTGGCTCCCTGAAACTTGTTGCTGGGCATACAGAGAGGATGAAGTGGTGGAGTGTGGGCAAGTGGGTGATGGACACACTACGGATTTAAAAATGCTGTAATATGTGTATAAAGTAAATAGTATTTATGGATGTAAGAGTAAGTGAGTTATGTAATGAATGTAAAGTTTATGAGACTATGAGGTTATGCTTAGCAACCTTAAAATACAGGATATGTTGATGTACCCGAAAGGCTATTATGATAATGGCCTATGAATGATGATGGTATGCGAAGAATAAATTGAATGTATGACCATGTCTAGAAACTGATTTTGAAGTTTTATTTCGACAAGGCAAATACTATTTATTTTACTATTGAAGGAAAAAAAAAGTTAGCCTAAATTTTGAGAGTTCATAAATCAAGAAAGATAAAAGTTAAGAATCGAGTTAAGTATGAATTTAGTAATGATGATAAGAAATAAGGGTCGTCACACTCTTAATCCTCAATTTGAGTTTGTGAAGCACAAAAGATTGTGAACATTAAAAGTTCCAATTAATTACATCATTATGTTGATGTCAAAGGTAAACCATTATATAAAAAGTGTACCATTATATAAGTGTCAAGTTGAGAAGTAATTTTATGTAAGAGAAAATACTGTAATAAAAGTTTAAATTCGAATTGTCGAGTTGAAAAGTAATTTTATGTAAGAGAAAATACTGTAATAAAAGTTTAAATTGTAATTCGAAGCAGTAAAAATTTCGCATATTACTTTCTCATTCATATATTCCATATTCAATTTGAGTCTATAGACTAACGACTCCATTCGCCGCGGGAATCCAATCATTGGCCCACAGTACAAACTGATCAATTCTATAGAATTCACCCTCCACGGTTTACATATTCTTTTGGCTTAGTTTGGTAGTGCTGTAAATTTTTAAAAAAATTATTTTTAGTTGTGCTGAAGAAACAAGTGGCTGTTATAAAAAGCAGTAGAGTGTTTAGTAAACTATAATTATAATAGCTGTGCTAGTTCCAAAATCAGTGCAATAACGTTTCGTAAATTGTGAAGTTAAATTACTGTGGGTAATTAAAATGATTAAAATAGACATGATATGAAATATAAATATATATAATTGTTTCTAGTATTTAGAAATGCTTGTTTAACTTAAAAAAAAAAACATAATGTTATGATTCTGTGTTTTATAACAATAAATTTATGATAATTAATTCTTTTTTTTTCATTTCTTTATTCACAATATAGTTACAACAAAAAAGAACACTAGTGAGTAATCAACATATACAACAAAAATGTACATTCCGCGTTCAAAAATTGGTAGAAGCATTGAAAGAATTAAATCGTGCTCATTAAACTTGTAACAAATTGATCTCGTACTTCATCCATTTCTTGTGATAGTAAAGCTTGATTTTCTTTTACATTATCCTTTGGTTGATTCTCTTTATAAACGAATAACTTGCTTCGTAAACGAAAACACCTACAATAACTATGTTCCTCTGCAATTGCAGTTAAGATTTTAAGCTTGGTCTGACCATCGGGTGCCTTGGCAGATAATTTATCCACCAACTGCAAAAGCAGACAATAAAATTAGCAATAAACTACACTTCTACATTTCCAGCGTCTACTGCCATTATTTGTTCACACTGATTTTCCATATAACAACTATCCATGAAAGTTGCATGAGACGCACAAACTTACCATGCGATTTACGTCACAATTTGGACGCAATTCGATAGCTATAGTAATAAATTCCTTTCCATATTTTACTGTTAAATGCTTCCTGATATCCATTAGTTCCGGTATATCTGCACATCTCGGAGATGTAAATATTACACTTGAAATTGCTTCTATCAGATCAATCGAACAGTTTCTGGTGGGGAAAAAACGAATGAATGAATGAACATAACGCTATTGACAAAAAAAAAAAGAACAACTAACTGACAAGACCAATTAGTAACTGAAATAACTATCCACCAATTACAAAAAATAGCTATGCTAAACACAGGTTGAATTTTTTCACCAACAATCTCCGGTGCTCTGGAAGGAACACGCATTAACTATAAGAAGCATATTATTTTTTTTATCTCTAATTAGGGATATATGTCTACATAGAAGATGAAGTGAATGGCTAAACACACATTAACTATACAATTCTGCTTACTCAAAATTGTGTTTTTCACACTTCTAGCAAGAACAATATTTCACTTCTTACCAAAATCATAAAATGGATTGATTTCACTTCCATTTTCTTGGAAGCCATTCAGAAATGCAACATCATTTAGAGAACAAAAAAAGACTTCAATTCCAACCAATTAACTATATCCATGAAACAATTCCAACCAAATAACAGAGCACCATTTCAAAAAAAAAAAAAAAAAACTTCTTGCAAACATATATATCCATACACACACACATATATACGTACAAACACAAACACTATCCCTTGAAATGTAAACTCACTCTAAAATAAAAAAAAAAAGAAAAAAAAAACAAGAATCAATTTGTTATCATTTTTCATAATCATACTCAAGGAAATGCAATCAAAGTTCTTTATCTCTATCTCTCTCTCTACTTTTGCAATTGTCTCCAAACTCCACCACTTCCTTCCCTTTTTCCCCTCAATCTCCCACCCATGAACCTGCCAACGCCGCCGCCCTAAGATTAGGAAACCCCCCACCAATACCCCGCAAGATCAGGAAATGCAGAGCAGAGCAAAGAAATGAATTTTTTTTCCCAAAATCCATCAATCAAGAGAACAATCCGGTGATAACACACAGAATAAAGCTGGAACAAACATTAACTCACATGTTGATAGAATCGAATAAAGAAAAAAAAACCACTTACGGTGAAAACATAAGCAAAATGGAGAGAAACGCAGCCAGAGCTAAAAATTTCCGTGAAAACATAACCAAATCAGTTTAAACGAAGATCAGTCGAGTACTTACAGTGGCGATACTCTTGGATCTGTTGAGCTCTAACCGGAAATCCAACAATCAGGAAACCCTACCCACCACAGCCATGTCTGACCGAGAGAAGGGAGAGAGAGTCCGCCAAAACTTCAATCGCATGCATTAAAACCCTGTCAAGCACAGAGGGAGAATGAGAGAACAAAGAGGGAAGAGATTGATTTCGGGGATAGAGTGGGAGACGAGAGAACTCAGGAGTGAAGAGAGAACAATACCTGGTAATGGTGTGGGATTATTTTCATTCAACAGGAGTAAATGGGAAATAACGAAAGTTTCATTAAACTAAGCTTGTAGATTGCCGCACAATCTACAATCAGAAGTAACCTAAAAACTACTTCTGATTTTGGCCCCAAATTATTCAAAAATCCTTTTAAAATTATTTTTTCTTGTTTTTACCAAACACCACCAACCAGCTGCGACTATTTAGAGAATTCATTTTAGCCTCTAATAATCTCAACAAACTAAGCCTTTGTCTTTGCTGAAAAGCAGTTTACCACTTTTTCTCTATGAGGTATTCTCCTCTCACTCTACATGCATGTAATTGTCACTTACCTAATAATTGCACTCCCTTGTGCGTATATGACAACGTGACTCACGCCTCTTGCTGATAAACCAAAAATATATACTAAACAAGTTGATCTCGTGAAATAAATTAGCAATTATAATCTTCAAGTGGGATTAATTTAACATTTAATCAACACCACGCAAATCTGGATCATTGGGACAAATATCCACTTCTGGGGGGCCATATATATATATATATATATATGATCGCCTTTAGCTATACATAGAAAATACTAGACTTTTGGATGGTGGGATTGCTTTTCACTTTAAAATTCAGAAACCACACGTGCATCGCTAAAGAATGATTTATGATTGATCTCTTATATTCCGCAATATGTACCCAACAAGCTTGCCCCAAACATTATTAACACACTATTATAGACGGAACTACTTTCTTTCACACTTTTATAAAAAGCTTTGTTTGATTTTGAATTATTACTATTTTAACGTAATAAATATCACTACGACAAAAAGTCATTTGCGGCGACTCAATATCGTCGTAAATACGTAATATGTCGTCGTAAATACTGCATTTTTGATGAAATGTCGTCACAAATTAATCGTCGTAAAAAATTAGACGCAAATGATATATTTGCGGCGACAAAGTTTTGAGATGTCGTCGTAAATATATTTGCGATGACAGTCGTCACGAATAAGTCGTCATGAATGTTCCGTCGAATATGTTATTAATGATGAAATGTCATAGAGCATTTGCGACGACATAGTGTCGTCGCAAAAGTGTTTAAAACCTTTTGCGACTTCACCATCGTCGCTAGTAATGTGAACTATTTACGACGACACCGTAGAAATGTTGTCGCAAATAGTATTTTCTTTATTTTTTATTTTTTATATGTGTTGATTAATTATGTCTGAATTTTACTTTTTAATCTTGAGAATTAGCTTTGATTTGCGAATTTATAATTTATTCCTTAAAGAAAATTGTCAGTAACTATAGGAAAAAAAAAACCAAAAATTGTGGGAAATAAAAAAAAATTGTTGTGAGTATAAAATCCTAGCTCCGTCCTTGCAAATTGTAGCTAAAAAAAATGGAATTAGTGCTTCCTTTCTGGGCATTACTCACCTTATCGCTATCCCTAGCTATTCTGACCACCTGCCTTTCCAAAATCATCCTCTTTCCAAAAAAAACCCATCTCCATAAATATCTTCCAGGTCCCAAACCATGGCCTATCATTGGAAACCTAAGCCTCATTGGTGATCTTCCTCACCAATCCCTTCATAAACTCTCCCAAAAATATGGCCCCCTTATGCAACTCAAGTTTGGCTCTTTACCTGTTGTGGTTGCTTCTTCTGCAGATATGGCGAAACTGTTTCTCAAAACATACGACCATATCTTCGCCTCTAGACCTCAATTCGCAGCCGGAATGTACACCACTTATAACTATTCCAACATCGCTTGGGCTCCTTATGGACCCTATTGGCGCCAAGGGCGCAAGATTTACCCCACCGAGCTTTTCAGCCCCAAAAGACTGGATTCTTACGAGTACATTCGTGTCGAAGAAATGCGAGCTCTTATGTCAAGACTTTTCGGTTTGGCAGTTCTCACGCCACTCTTAGCGTTATAAGTAGAATGGTGTTGGGAAAGAAGTACTTTAGCGAGTCGGAAAGTTCTGAGAAGTCATCGACGTCGACGTCGGTGAAACTAGAAGAGTTTCAAGAGATTGTGGACGAGTTGTTCTTGCTTAATGGGGTGTTGAATATTGGGGACTGGATTCCGTGGCTCGGATTCTTGGACTTGCAGGGTTATGAGAAAAGAATGAAGGCTTTGAAGAAGAGATTGGATCGGTTTCGTGCTCATGTGCTTGATGAGCACATGGCCAAGAGGAAGGCAATGAAGGACTTTGAGGCGAAAGACATGGTGGATTTGCTTTTGGAGTTGGTTGATAATCCAGACCTTGAAGTTAAGCTTACTTATGACAATGTCAAGGGGTTCATTCAGGTATATACAATTGGCTCCTTTTTCGTAATTAATTTTTAATTCTTTTTGCCTTCAGTAACTAAATTAATTGCGACTGAATACATTTTATTTTTTAAAATATCGTACTGATCAGTTAAAAAAAATGATGATTTTATAATACTTCTTGACTCCACTACGTACTGTACGTAAGACAACAATTTGATAATTATATATTATTCTGGGAAATGTTTATGACGTATGATTCTGTCTGTTCTGCTCGCTGCACTGTGGAAGTGGGTGAGAAAAGTTAGCAATACTTTTTTACCTAATTTTATCAATCTAAATGCAGGACTTAATAGCCGCTGGCACAGACTCCTCTGCATCGACCGTGGAATGGGCGATGTCGGAGCTCCTAAAACAACCAAACCTCATGGACAAAGCCACCGAAGAGCTCGATAGAGTGATCGGGAAAACCCGATGGGTTTCCGAAAAAGACATCGCGCAACTTCCCTTCCTAGAGGCTGTTATCAAAGAGACGCTAAGAAAACACCCTGTTGCCGTGCTACTCGCGCCCCACCTGGCCATCGAGGACTGCAACGTCAATGGCTACTACATCCGCAAAGGGACGCCGGTCTTCGTAAACGCGTGGAGCATCGCGAGGGACCCGTCGGTGTGGGACGCGCCGGAGGAATTCCGACCGGAGAGGTTCTTGGGGAAGGATAAGGACTTCGACATCAAAGGGCAACGTTTTGAGATGTTGCCATTCGGGTCGGGTCGGAGGATGTGTCCGGGTTATAGTTTGGGAATGAAGATGGTAAGCTCTACATTGGCCAACTTGTTGCATGGATTCAGCTGGAAGTTGGGTGGGAGTTATCAGAGAAATGAGGATTTGGACATGGATGAGGCTTACGGGTTGGCGACGATTCGTAAGTTCCCACTTGTTGCGGTTATGGAGCCCCGACTTCCGGTCCATCTTTATGATGCGTTCTAAATTTGGTAGCTCTGATGGATTGGTTTTTGTTTTATGGTGATCTTTTCCATGAGTGTTGTGAATATCGTAATAATATTGTGTCAAGTACTTTTGTCTTGCTATTCTTTTTTTCCTAAACTCGATTCCATCTCTTTATTTGAAACTGAAACATAGTAATACACCAAAGACCAACTGTGGGACGCAGTGGCGGACGGAGCTAAGATTATATTTTAGAGGAGGCATAAATTAAAAATGTGAAAAATTTATCAAAATAATATCAACTACTAATACTATTATTAGTTAGAGCACATTTGACACACATGCATATTAATACATGCATATTGTGCCTTATAAAGTCTTAGCACTATAATAGTTACAGGTACTTTTACGCTTAGCCGTGCTCTTGTGAATGACATAATTAAAATGAATTATGCGCTCGATAGAGAAAATATGTTTAAGAGAAAATGATAATTGAGAGTGTTACTTTTAAAAAAAATGCTTAGGGACGTATTTGAGAAAGATCATCTAAATTTTTCTCATAAAGCTCACTTTTGATATAATAAAGATCAGATGAAATAATATTTTAAAAGGGACAAATTTAGAAAAAAAAAAGTTTTAATTGGAATAAATTAAAGAAAAATAATTCAATTAGGTATACTAAAAAGTAAAGAATTTAATAGGAAAGAACAAAAAAAAAAATTAGTTAAAAACAACTAGTTAAAAACAATATTTAGATAATTTTTATCAATAAAAGGGGGCATATATAAAAAAAAAAATTGAGAATCTGTAGGATAAAGTTTTAAAAACCAAAAATTTTCCCGACCTCAACTGCCTTCGCAATGGTGGAACGTTTAAGTCAGGACCAAAATGTCACTCAAAATAGGATTAACCATATATATATATATATGGAAAACAACATTATCTGTAAATATTTATCCTATAAAATGAAAGTATCTTAGCAATGACCACTACAAGAATATTGATCTTTTGCTATCAAAACGTTTTGCTATCAAAATTATTTTGGTAGCGGAATCATCCATTTTAGCTACTAAATTTTGATAGCCGAATGTTAACGTATTTCTGCTACCAAATTTGGTAGCCAAAAGTGACGATTCTACTAACAAAATTTTTCTTGGTAGCGGAAATTATGGCGCCAAGACTTTTTAGCTATCAAAATAAATTTGGTAGCAAATATTATTGTTTTTGCTACTAAAATTTTAGTAGCAAAAACGTATTTTCAGCTACCAAGAGCAAAAAATAATAATAATAATAATAATAATAATAATAATAATAATAATAATAATAATAATAATAATAATAATGATGCCAAGACATTTTGGCTACCAAAATAAATTTAGTAACAAATACGTATGTTTTTTTTTTAGTAGCAAAAACATATTTTCCACTACCGAAATAATTTTGTAGCCAAAACATATGGCACCAGACAAAATTTATTTTTCACCATGGCCTTTTTGCTACTAAATTATTATTGTTCGCAAAAATTGAAGATTCTGCTACCATAGGTTTAGTAGCTAATGACAACATATTCTAGCAAAGGGTTTTTTAGTTGCCAAATATATTTAATAGTACTTTTTATATTAAAAAATTATTTTTTTATTATACGTGAAATGAATAAGTAAATAGAACTATATTATGAGATTTATAAAAAAAATTTCTTTTTAATATATAAAGAGATGGTTTTTAAGTGACAATGTCATATATCACACAATAAAAATAGTGGTAAAATATATTTTAAAAATATATATCTAACTTTGCACTCAGTTTTCAACTTCAAAAAATGAATTTAGTAGCTAAATATGTCGTACGTTTTGCTACCACAATTTAGTAGTAGAATAAGACTTTTTGCTACCAAATTATTAATTTGGTAGTGAAAAGTTGTCTTTACGCTAGTAAATAAGATATATAGTTGG